CAAAATCAGCTAAAACTAGAAATACCAACAGTGGTTTGTTAGAAAACTGAGAACCTAACCCAAGAAGAATCAAGAAATAAAGAAGTCGAGATGAAAAAAGGTCACCTATTTCAGCCTTAAATCTGAAGAACCCAGGACCAATCACCTCGCTTTTGCAATCATATAGAGAATCCACAACCTATAATAAAATCAGTGATATTTAGTAACCTTAAAAATCATGAAGGTATATCAATACCAGAAAGAGATCATTAGCATTAATTATACCGGGTCATTTTTCAAAAATTGGAGAACCTTCTCCATATCATGGTCATCCATTGCCCTGCCAATCAAAGCATGTCGATTCCTTTGGATCAGAAAAATAGCCACCTGCAGGGTAGATTCAACTCTGTTGTATAATTATAGTTTCACTGTGTGTCTCAGTCACAACCTGTTGTGTTACTTAGTTTCTTTTTTTGAATACCCAACATTTACTAATCAGACTTCTTCAAAATTAGTATTTTATTGCAGATTTTCACTTGAATTTTAGACAGCAATGTGGTACTCTAATTGCAGTTTCTGCATCATTTTTTATGGAAAGAAGCATCACATACCATTCCAAGTAGGTTGCCAACTACAATCGATCCTATGGGATCATAAATTGCATTTCCTGTTCTATTCACTGCAACCAATGATGCCGCAGCAATAGCAAGCCCAGTTACAGCTGCCCCATCCTGCATGCATAAGATAATTTATAAAGGGATAATAGCTTGTTATCGGACCAGAAAATATGTATGGCTTCATCATTTTTCAATCAACTCTAGGCTTATGCTACGTTAATGAAGGGTTTCAATGACATTACATGTTGGGTTTGACTGCTTGAGATAGTTTCTTGCAATTAAGTAGATTATAATATACTCATTGGTGTTGCTGAAACTTTCATTCATCCCCATTTCCATACCTAATCATTTCGTCCTTTGCAATCACAGAAATAAATTCCAACAACCAAGGGAGAATAAAGAAAGAACAACCCAGTGTATTACCTCTGTCATGACTGCAACAGATGTGGGATCATGTCCGCGCCATATATAGTCTCTCAGTTTCATGCCCTCAGCAGCTGCACCTTTCTTGACGGCTTGTATGGCAACAAGAAGAGAAGCACCTACGGAATGGATGCAAAGGTTAAAGGGGGGGAACATGAGAAATAAATAAGGTAATCATATGATTGGGCTTCCCATCATTGTTTTGAAAGATAATGTATTGAGCTCTACCTTCAATAATAAATGAGCCACCAATCACAAGAGCTGCATACTGAATATTTGGAGGGGGCTGAGGAAGAGGCAGACAAATTCTATAAAACCGGAATAGAATTTACAAACACAACAGATAATCTAAGAAATTAACGGTAAGACATTGGAAAGGAAAAATAGTACACATAGGTTTGGGTAACAAAATTTTGCCAAGTAAAAGCTCAATAACCTGTGAAGTCCACAAGTTTTGAACTCCATGAATGATAGTCGCACCAGAACCAAGACAAAAGATACCAACAGCAGATATCAAAGACCAGACAAATCTTTCCTTGGAGTATCCATAACTGCCAGAATCAAAGACATAACATGATAATTAGAACTAATTCTTAGTGCGAGCATATAATAATATATATGCATGTAGTTAATTTCTAGTCACAGCTCTTGACTTGTATATTTAGCACTTGCAACATCCAATTCCACTTGAGCGAGTATTCTAGAATCATAGAAGTGCTTAAACCAGTCAAATTAATGGCTAACTCTTATGGTATGTCATAGATTTCTTCCTTCTGAAACCTTTCTTAAGACTGTTACATAATGCACAACTTTTGTTGATAAAAAGACAAATTAAACAATCAAGCTAATGAAGGTTTCATCAATGATGCGAAAAGTTGGTCATGGTATAGAAAGACTCACGGGTGGAGAGCATCCGGTGCACGCCTTGAGCTACTCAAACCATAAGCAAGAAGCGCCTACAATGACATGGATTAGTTTCTCTGCATCACTGAATTGATTCAAACATGAAATGAAAAATCACAACAACATTTACTTCAAATAGACCTATACCTGATTTGCAAAATCAGCAACCGAGTGCACAACTTCAGCAAACATAACATGGCTAGAGGTGGATAACCAGACACCGAACTTAAGTGAAAAGACAAGGAAGTTGCACCACAATGCAGTAGTGACTGCCCTTTGACTAGCATACAGAATTAATGCAAAAATCATAAGAATTTAATGCAATTCCAAGCAATTAAACAAACAAACAATAAAAATATACTAAATCGAAAAAATTTCAAACATTCTCAGGCTCGGTACCTGTGCTGGTCATTGAATTCAATCTTCACCTGCTTAGCTCTAGTAAAGAAACCTGCAAATCAATGCACATCCAATTTTTACCCAAATGCACAAAAATTTCAGCTAAAATTGACTAATTTATCACTTTCCCTATAGAATTTCATAACTTCCCAAATCGAAAAAGGAACCTACTGCGATGAAGCAAGTGCCGCTGCTGCTGCTGCTGCTGATGGTGACGATGAACAACACTACCCGACGAAACCAAGTCGAGCAAAACGACCCGTTTCGAGCAGGCAGCTGAGGAAACCAGGCCGCGCAGAAGAGTGTGAGCAGAGGAGCTAAACGGAGCCTTTTGGGGGAGGCTGCGATCGTCGTTCCGGGGGTCTGTGTAGTGAAAGAGCAGAAATTGGGAGGGGCAGCGAGTACTGAAGCGGTGGGTGCGGCGGAGGCGGGAGGCGAGAGTGTAGGAGGACGTTCTCATCTCATCTGCATGGAAATGTTCATGGGTTCTCGGAAAGCTACTGCATTTCGATTGTTTTTAGGGTTTTGAGGGTGGGATTGGTTTAGGGTTTTGTGGGTTGACGAAAAGAATGAAGAATCAGAGACGCAGAGCGAGGTTGAAGATGGTGACAGCTAAGAGCCTAAGACATTGTTTTTGCTAGTACAAGGTTTAGTCTAAACCATTCCCACAAAGATTTTAAAATTAAAATTAAAATTAAAATTTGCCATCTGCAACGAGTCAAAGTGGAAGAAAAATGGTGAATATATTGAGCCACCAATGGTGTCGCAGCCCAAATTAGACCCGCCAAGGGGTTAGCTATGAACTATTTCGGTAGGAAGCACTTCTACTCAATGTTTTAAAACATATGGTTTTTATTGGTACTTTTCTTCATTAAGTGAGAGGTTTATATTTCAATTTTGTCAAAGATAAATTTAAATCACATTATTACTGACTCATTGTGATTGCCTCTCCTTACTGTAGATAATATTGTTTGCTAAAAAAAATAAAGACAAAGACGTGGGCGAGCGTTCCATGAATAGTTCCACCTAAGTGTGAGTCGTGAGTTTAAGTCTTACGGGACCTAAATAATCGGGGATTGCGGTTGGTTATTAAAAAAAAGGGGACTACTATCAGTTATTTGAAAAAAAAAAAGGGACTGTAGTGAGTTTTAAAAATAAAAGAAAAACAGACTTAGCCAAAACATTGTTGTTTTGGGCCAAGTCATTTAAAAAAATTTAAAGACTTGGCCAAAACGACGTCGTTTTGGGCTAAGTTTTAAAAAAGAAAAATTTCCTCTTCTTCGCGGTTGTCTTCCTCATGAAGACGTTGCACACATTTCAACCCTAAATTAAGATGACAGAGCCTTCGACTTTGATTTACCTAGACGACTGACCCATTCGACTTCGATTTTGGGTCACTAATGGATCTAGGAACGCCAACCAACTGGCTTGCCTCGGGACGTGTTTTTTAAAAAACACTACTTTTGCTTTATAAAAAACGTGTGTTTCACAAGAGGTATATCGAAAATGCTTTTATAACCGAAAAATACTTTTATATTTTATGATAAAAAAATACTTTTAATCATTTTAGAATCGAATTCTAAATAAAAATATTTATTTTGAAAGAAACACTTTTACTAAAAAGTTGAAGTAGTTATTTTAAACCTCTCAAAAGTGGTTCCTCAATTCAAGTAGCATTCGTTTCTCCAAATGTGTTGATGAGATGGGGGGAAGGTCAAAAAGTGACGAATCTAAGTTTGATGTACATATTGAAAAATAAGTCACCTAATTAATTGTTGAAATTTATAGTCTGACAATATAAACGTTTGTTTCGAAAAACGAAATCACATAATTGAGGATCGACAAGCACCTCTTATTCATTACTTGCATGTTATGATTTTTGTTGAAATTTTTGTGTGGAAAATTAAGAGCTAGGATATAAATTCCAAGGTAATTGAGCACTATGAAGTAGTTATTTGTGTGGAAAATGAGAAAAAAGAAACTCACATAAATCATTGTTATGTCTAGGGAAGTAGATATAACGTGCATATATCAACACCCAATATTGATAAGGGGTGAGATATCCACATACTATTTTTTACTTCTTGCACACTCTTTTAATTTACAACCGTCGAATCAGATGAATTGAAGAAGATCAAAGGATAAAAATTAACAAGGGGATGTGAGAAGAAAAAAGGGGTTACGTTAGTGCTATCTACACACCTACTTTTACTTCTCACATACTTCTCTTATTTTTTTTGCGGTCAATGAATTGAAGAAAATCAATGATCAAAAGTTAAAAAGCTTTATCAATCAATCATTCTCTAATATACGTTTGGGTGGTTGTATATACACATCCATTTTTTACCACGCACACATGTCATGTTAATTTATATCATTTGATCTTCTTTTCAGTCGATTTAATAATCGAAAATTGAGAAGAATGTATAGAAAGTAAAAAAAGACGCGTAAATTATGTGCAGACAAACAATATTCTAATTTAATCATAAATTTGATTCACTTACCAACAAAATCCTTCGCTATTTTTGCAAACAAACTACTTTTTTTTTTACTTTCATTTTTCTTTTTATTGCAAACAACAAACTTTTCTTTTCTTTTTGGTTTTGGTAACAAACCAATTATTATTTTTCTTTAAATCAGACAACAAAATGCTTTTCTTAAGTCTTTTCTCAGTCAACACTTCCACAACTCTCTCTCTCTCTCTCTCTCCATATATACAAACAGATCGACAAACGGGCGACACCCCTCCTGAAACTTCGAAGTCTCCACCCACCTTCGTCCTTTCCCCTCTCTCCCGTTTCTTCCCCGTACCGAAACGCGCATCTCATTTGACCGGAGATCACATCGCAGCTCGAAACGTTTTCAATTGCACTCGCTCCCCTTTTCATTTCCGGCGTTTCGATCCCGCAAAACAATTTGGACGCGGTTCCGTTGTTTCCAGATCGGAAAAAACGTTTTCTTTGTCTCACTGCGTGTTCGATGCTGTGCCTCTGGATCGGAGGGTAAGTGTTTGTTTGGTGCGATGGCCAGGGTCAGATCGTCGTCATCGTCGAGTAGATTGAGGTACTGCAACCCGGCGTATTACTTGAAGCGGCCGAAACGCTTGGCTTTACTCCTCATCGCATTCGTTTCCGTCACTCTTGTTGTCTGGGACCGTCAGACTCTCCTCAGAGAACACGAGGTTAATCTCCTTCTCGGTTATTTTGGTTTCTTGATTTGGGTTTTGAGTCTTGTATGCTCTGTTTGGTTGCTGAGAAAGTCTTGGGAAATGGGGATGAAATTTTTTATTTAAGTATGGATAGCGGTTTACATTTTTAGGGTCTTTAACTGTGGATGGAAAAAGGGTTGATTGCGTTAGAGGGGAATTTGAAGCTCAGTAACTGCTATGATAAAATGTTCAATGTGTTTGTTTACCTTCAATGTGCGTTTGTTTCAATAAGATTTCGAATCTCGGAGTAAGTGTTAAATTAGGCATGTGGAAAATGGTATAATCTGATTGTTATAACTATGAGAGGAGGAGCATCTGGTTTAATGTAATTCATCATAAAATGTTATGGATGGCAGAAGCCTTTTATTTTTAAGCTACAATTCCGGGTTATACGGAATTTGAAGAATGATGAATAAGTTTCTCATGAGATGCTCCTATTGGTGAGAGTTTGCATTACTAATTGAACCTCTGTTGCATACCCGAGGTGTAAAAGTTGCACATGTTTTTTATTTTTCTCATCTAATGATCTTATTAATGAATGCAGGAAGAAGTTGCCAAGTTAAGTGAACAATTGAGCCATTTGAAAAGTTTGGTAAGCGTCTTATACCATGGTTTTTGTTCATGCTTGAGCTACTTCTTGTATGTGGCCTTCAGTCGCCATCTTTTTCATCCATTTATTTGGGATGGGGTGGTACTGTTGCTGCCATAGCTATCAATCTCTGAATTTTTCACCCACAACACTTAGGTTTTATCTGACAGTCCCCCCCCCCCCCCAACCGGCTGTCTGAAACGACTATAAAAGAATTTGAGAAACTTTATAAATTAATAAAGAGCTTTAAGTTCTTCTTATTCCGCCTCAACTGTTCTTTGAAATTGAACAAAGTGGGTCCTCTATGGTTATTTGTAATCTGATTTCATTAGATATTTGTGCCTGGAGGTGAAGTGAACACATATATCTCAGAATACCCTGAAGCAATATTTTAATCCGTTTTTAAGGGTTTGATATGTGTCAAGTGGCAACTAATGGTATATTGTACACTCAGGTGGAAGACTCACAAAATGTGCAAGGTGATGCCACTAAAAAGGTTATGTTGAAGGGCAGGGGTGGTGAGAAAGAGGTTGTCCTGGACCCAATTGACATTCAAAGAAGAGAAAAGGTCAAAGAAGCTATGATTCACGCATGGAGTTCATATGAGAAGTATGCATGGGGCCAAGATGAACTTCAGGTAAATTGAACCTTTCAGTTTACCATTGCCTATTTCATTTTTAAATAGCAGTTCACAGTGCTTTATGGCCTTTTCTCTACCTACGTGTTCCTTTTGTGCTATGTTATGAATTCAGTTTACAAGGTTTTAGTTTTCTTTTGGTGTATCTTTCGTTGATTGTTATTATAGCTTGCTGAAGGTGTGACTTTGTCAATGTTGTCAAGCTTTGGTCCAACTTTCAGCCAGTATGTAACTAATTAGAAAAGTTATCACACATGAAGTTTCTGAAATTGTACGTACTACGAATACTTATTAAGTTGATGACACTTTGTATCCATCTTAAGGCTGAAGCTGTGCTTCTTTTTATCCCATTAAGTAAGCAAAAAATATTTGTCTCTAAATCTCTTAACCCTAAATCTTGTACTTATCTATCTCTGTTATCTCTTTTTAAGGAGCTTGTTCTACGATGCTGTTGTATCAGGTTTAAGGAGCTTGTTCTATAATTTTAACATTACATGCCACTTTCAAATTTTAGAGTCATGTAGTGTTGTGAAGAATTATTTGGCCTTGGAAAATCTTTGGCCAAAGGTTTTCGAGTAGTGGAAAAAAGCTAGGACTAAAAGGTTTTCAAGTCCAGGTCTCTATTATTTGTATCTGTCTTTTTCACAAAATTTAGAGTCCGTAAGGAGGCAGAGAGGGACTTTTGGTGGAATGTCGTTGTTCTATATTCTGTTGGGCAGAGGTAAGCTGGAGCTCTTATGATGTGTTGTGGCGGATAAGTGATGTACCAGTGGATAAATATTAAGAGAATTTAACGATGCGGTTTAAATTTAAAAAGAATTGCTAATTCCTATTGATTCAGTAAAACACATTAAGAAGCTGATGATATATATACTGATTTCTTAATCTGCTAGATTTTTCAGATTCCATCTGACATTTTGCTAAATAAAATTAGTGTAGGTGTTCATGTCTCTATTCTGATAAACTCCGTTTCTGTTTCTGTGCTTTCTCAAGAATCTAGGAGCATTAAAGTTGTATGGGCTCAGTCACAATTCTATTTGTACCGACCACAACTTGATACAGTTTTGTTTTTTTTTTTACTTTCCATGTTACTGATGAGGTTATTCTTTTTGTACAAATTTCTAATGTGAAGGCTTTTTTGCATGTACTCCAGCCGCAATCAAAGAATGGTGTTAATAGCTTTGGTGGTCTTGGAGCAACACTAGTAGACTCTCTTGATACACTGTATATAATGGGTCTTCATGAGCAGTTCCAAAAAGCTAGAGAGTAAGTTGAAGTTTCTATTTTGATATTCTTTGGTAGCATACTCAGTGGACCAAATTAAGCTCTGGCTATTTGGCCATATGTAGGAGCATATATATGTAGGGTCATATATCTGTCAACTATCAAGTCCTATGTTGGGCCCTTTTTCTATGCCAGCCATTTTAGCTTCTTGTCCTTTTGCTCCTTCAACTTGAACCAGATTAATCTTTGCAACAGTGCTTTGAAAGATTGCACTGTGCAAACCATCCTAGATGAACTTTTCTTTTGTTAATTCAGATGAACTTTTCTTTTGTTAATTCAAAAGAAAAGCAGAAGATTTCTCATTTTGTGCCATCCCTGATATTTACTTATCTCTATTATTTGCAACAGTGCTACGACTTTCATTTATTCATTTATATTCCCATTTTCTCTCTTTGACATCTTTGTTTTTTCTTTTTGCCCAAACCTCATCCTACAGTGTTACATGTTACATATTGTAACAAATGTTTTATTATCAATATGTTATTCTTGGCAGGTGGATTGCAACCTCATTGGATTTTGACAAGGATTATGAGGCTAGTGTTTTTGAGACAACCATAAGGTTGCATTATAAGGTTTAATATATGGTTGATTTTAATTGTTTTCTCCCCCTTCATAAGAAATTGTTTGGGGCTTTCACTTTTATTTTCCTCCTTTGGTTTCTGAAAGCAGATTTTCTGACGTATGATGTCTATTGTTTTTCTAAAATTTCCAGAGTTGTAGGTGGACTTCTCAGTGCATATGATCTCTCAGAAGATAAACTTTTCCTTGATAAGGCTAGAGAGATTGCAGACAGATTGCTGCCTGCATGGGATACACCTAGTGGGATACCTTACAACATTATCAACTTGGCACATGGAAGGCCGCACAATCCTTCATGGACTGGGGTAAGTAGTGTAAAAGAGCTAACATTTTCAGATAGTCTCTTGTAGTCTTTTTATGATATAAAATTAGCATAAGTTGAGTTTATTTATTATTAGTGTTGCATGCTTGTATCTCTTTCATGATTTCTCTGAAACATTTGAACATTTACTAGTGTTTTGAAATTTCATTTGATAAATTTTTGATATTTGAGTTCATTATGTTTTTAGGGTGACAGTATTTTGGCAGATTCTGGCACAGAGCAGGTGGAGTTTATTGCTCTTTCTCAGAGAACAGGAGACCCGAAATACCAGCAGAAGGTACATATACTATCATGTTTACTAGTTTTTCTTATTTCCCCATCAAGTAGCACATTTACAGGAAATTCTATCTGATTTAATGTAACTCATGAAGTCAGCATATGATGAATTGCTGCCCATATTAACATGCGTACAACGCTTAGATCAGTGACTTGTCATTTCATTGGTGTGAGAAGCTAATTGCTTGTATGTTGATTTCTAGGCTGAGAAAGTTATAGTGGAGCTTAACAAAACTTTCCCTGATGACGGCTTGCTTCCTATTTATATTAATCCTGAAAGAGGAACTTCAGGACGCTACATTATAACCTTCGGTGCCATGGGTGACAGGTAAGCATAAAGTTTGATATGAATCATGTAATATTCCGTTTCAGGTTTTATAGGGTATACTGGTGTGAGTGGCTTAAAACAATGGTGAAATTAACTTGACATATTGTTTGCAGCTTCTATGAATATTTACTCAAAGTCTGGATACAGGGGAATAAAACTTCAGCTGTAAAGCCGTACAGGTAAGAAGCTTGTCTTTGTCTTTAGATGATCATAACCACTTTTTTACAAAATGTTCTGTTAGGCTTTAAAAGCTTTCAGAAGCATATCTGCTTGAAAGATTCTATTTACCCAATTTGTCATAGAGTTAACAATAGAAATACAAAAAAGGAATCACGCAGCTTTGGCTCCGGTACTATGACCTGTATTCTTTAAGGGCAAAAGATATTGTCTTGGGTCAAAAAGTCTTGTAGCTCCTCAATTTTAATTTATTTTTGAACTTTTTCTTTTCTAAAACTCTGGTTTGTGAAGTGGATATGTGGTCATGGTTTTTTTAAGTTTGTCTTGATGTCAAAATTCTTGTGGATTGTTGGAAGCAGAGATATGTGGGAGAAATCAATGACAGGTCTGTTGAGCTTGATCCGGAGAACAACACCATCATCTTTTGCATATATGTGTGAGAAGAATGGAAACTCTCTCACAAACAAGGTAAATTATCATTTGCTGTTGCAGTATAATTAATGTCACGGCGATATTTACTTTGATACATTTTGAGTTGCATTTCCATTGTATATGTAAATGCAGATGGACGAACTAGCGTGCTTTGCTCCAGGAATGCTGGCTTTAGGGTCATCTGGTTATGGTCCCGATGACTCTAAGAAATTCTTAACACTTGCAGAAGAGGTATTACTTCCTTGAAAGATTTTAGTTTCACCTTTGGAGATTTTAAGGCCCATTTAAACATACATTTCATGTCAGTTGGACAAGCCCTATTGATTGAGATAGTATGTGTGGGTTATTCATTCTGCACACAAGTTTTATTCTTATCAGCCAAAAGTTCAATTAAGCTTGCCGAATTATGTTACTATTTGGACCTTTGATTGATTCTGTAAGCCTATTTTTCAGCTTGCTTGGACATGCTATAACTTCTACCAGTCAACACCAACAAAATTAGCTGGAGAGAACTATTTCTTTTATGCTGGGCAGGTAAGTTATCCTGATTTTTGTTTAGACTATGAAATATAGTTAATATTTGCTCAGAGGGTGGTCTAAGTTTGAAATTTCCAGGACTTGAGCGTGGGTACGTCGTGGAATATACTGAGACCAGAGACGGTTGAATCACTCTTTTACCTCTGGCGTTTGACTGGCAACAAGACATACCAAGAGTGGGGCTGGAATATATTTCAAGCATTTGAAAAGAACTCCCGCATAGAGTCAGGATATGTTGGACTGAAAGATGTATGCACCTCTTAAAACCATAACTAACATTGTATCTGCATTCAAGTTCTCTTTTACGTTACCTTTTATTCAAGGTTGATTAATAATCTCTAGGGGCTGCAATTTCTTCTATTGTGTTTCTTTGCTTCAATCTCATGATTATTTTGAACTAATCAAAGCTACTCGCTCTTCAGTACACACTGAGGCTTCGAGCAGGTGAAATAATGTTTGCCTTTACTGATTTTGCGGCTTATCATTTATGCCGGTTGTTGGTTGTTTCAGGTTAACACTGGCGAGAAAGACAATATGATGCAAAGCTTCTTTCTTGCGGAGACTCTCAAATACCTCTATCTTCTTTTTTCACCCTCCTCAGTCATCTCGCTAGATGAATGGGTTTTCAACACAGAAGCTCACCCAATAAAAATTGTGGCCAGGCATGACGCTGTCACTTCTGGAATAGCAAATGGGAACGACAGACCAAAGATTAGATTGCGCGGCAGGAAGGCAGGCCGAACACGAGAGTAATAGGTTTTGTTCAATCCTAGTGTGATTCAAGGGTCCAAGTAGATGAAGATTAGTCTGTTGAGATTCGATGTCCGCTTTTGTACGAGGAGGAACTGATTCGGCTCTGCAAATTTCACGCGGCGGTGTTGTATTCTATGGTAACACATGTGTGCGCTTCTTTCTTCACAGTGATGGATCTGTAACATACTAACATAGCATATATACAGAGAGCATTCGCCGGTCGTCACCTCACAGGAAAATGGATATTCATCTCTTATTACCCATTTGGGAATATGGAATATGGAATATGGATCCATCCACATTTGTCATTTCAAGGAGGAATTCTTTTGGTTTAAACTTTTTACCCCCTCCATTTGACATGTCTCTGCCACTTTGTTATAGTGAATTGCTTATTTCGGTAAAACCTCGACCTGTAATATTCCTTTGCTATATTTACATGATTTTTTGGAAATTTTCAGAAAAGCAAGAAGAGCTAAAATTTGATTAAAAATTACTACCACGTGTGGTATGGTTGTATATAGCACAACATAAGCAAGTTTTTTAGAAGTGCAACAATCCCAAACTGACCATTAGCTACTTTAGCGGTGGATTTAATCACTCCGCAAACTTACAACTTAGATTATAACTCGTGAATTTACTGATTTTAGACCTTAGGTTCATGAGTTCGTGACGTTTCAATTTTCTCGGTCACTCACCTTATAATACGAAAATTAATTAGTAACACTACATGAAGGTAAGAATATGTATTCTCTTCATTTATATTATGATAGATGATGTATCCGCTCGTGTTGTTCAAATACTTAAAAAAAAAAAGGAAAAATTAGGTTCACATCTTTCTTTTTGTTACTCCATTAATTAAAATCCTATTCATTTTCAATTTTTGATCAAGGTCCTTGGGTATTAATAACATCATTAATTATTTTAATAATAAAATATTTTTATTTTTAAATATATTCCTTTAGTGTTAAAAATGTTACAATTAGTATATTTATATTTATGGCTAAATTTTTTATCATATGTTTTTATTTTTAGTTTGTACCTATTTTTAATTTGCAAACATTTTTTAATTTGTACCAATTTTCTTTTCATTTTTAATTTGTACCCATATATTAGTTTCTTTTTGTGCCCATATTTTTTTAAAGTTTTATTTGTGTTTGTACCCATGTGTATACCATCACGTGACATTGTATATTTAATCAATGATATAAAAATTACATATGGTATTGTTGACCCTAGAAACTACCAAGCCTACGTGGCGCGCAGACCGAGTAATCTATAAGCTAACTACGTCATTCGGTGAATGCGGGCGTGCCAACTCGTCGGCCGAGCTCGGCCGAGGAGTAAATTTGTTGATGTTGCGTTGGGTGCGCGGCTGACTCCTGCGTCTTGCGATTGCGACCGAGGAAGGAACGCGTCTCGGCCTCTTGGGTTCTCGAACCTGAAGACTTACTATTCTTACGAAGTTCACGAGTCGTCGTCGTCGGATTCAGTCACAGTGATGTTATTCGTCAGAGTAAACTCACGCCGAATCGACACCAAAGTGTAAGGGCACAAATACTCAAAGCGAATATAAGTTTTAATGGTGAACGTGGTTCGGCCGTCCGAATGCCGAACTCTAAATCCCACTTGGGAATATCCAATCATAAAATAACTTGGCGTGCAATGCGCCGAGCTCGATATACTGTAACACCTCACTTCGCCGAGGAAGCTAATGAGATGACCTCAATCAATAAGGATCCAGAAATCTTTCTCGACCAAGACTTGGATAGGTAACCAACCGTCCTCGCCGCAGTGCTGTTGATGCCAACGGAAGATACTGCGAGACCGACTGATTCTACGATGACAGAGCTATCTATGCCGACTTAAGATGTCACCGGTTGCTTCCACAGTGCTGTTGATGCCAACGGAAGATGTGTCAGCGAGAAAAGAAAAGAAAAAATCTCAAAGTTGTTGAGAAAGCTTGCGCAGGGCAGTTTTGTGTTGAATTATCGGGGGCTTGAATGATGCACAGCCTCCCCTATTTATAGCACTGGATCTCTTTGAATCCGAGTTAAACCCTACTCGGACTAGGTCTTCTCCTCCTGATCAACACCAACTCGACCAGTCCTATTTTCACTAGGATTGTGAACCTAGTCCTTAACCGAGCCGGATTCGCTTCCGGGTTATTAATCTTGCCGAGACTCCTCATTGCACTAGGACTCGACTTCTTGTGTTATGACCTAGCTGACCTAGGTTTGAAAGCCCACGTACTGAACGATCCATGGCATTCTTGTTGCAAGGCCTTTCGGGCCGAGAATGATTCTATACTCGGCCCAAACTATTATTTTGGGCCCAAACATTGCCCCTTCGCTTCTGAGGTCCTCGGCCTGAATTCGTTGGCTGAGTTTCGGCCTTGAAGAAGAGAATGTAATCCTCAGAACCCCAGTGCTCTATTTCCAAGGCGCATTTATTGAGCACGATTGCACGATCTTGATCTTGCTAACCAACTCGCCACGTGGTGTCTTCTAACATGGTCAATCCCTAATAATGACGTCTAAGGCGTGCGGCTACCTGAACCGTCATGCCATCATGACCTTATGGCTGAACATAGCCACTCTACCTCAATCCGCGAGCCGCTTGTCATTGTGCAGACGTCGAAACGTCTTCCGCCATTAATCTCCCCATCACACGCAATCGTGCGCCCCCAAAACCTGAGACTCTCGGTCTTCTCAACTGCATTTCCTGAATGTTCATCATGATCAGTGATTCCTTCGGTCGATTTTGCCATTCGTTTTGAATTTCGAACGATTGCCCTTCCTTCCAAAATCCTATAAATACTGAAATCCCCCATTCATACTTTACGCTTTCAAAATCTCTCTGAAATTTCTTGCCCTTGTTCTCCAGCGTAGTTCTTTTTCCCAGGTCTTCTTCAAATCTCCAACCCAGAAAAACCCCTTTCACACCGTTCACCATGGCCTCCTTTATCTCCAAGCTTTCTAAGGAGTGTGACCAATGCCAGAAAATCATCGATCGGAGTTCAATCAAGACCATCCGATTTGAGAGTGACATGAGTACCCCTCACCAAATCTTGGGTCCTCTCTTTAAGACGGCGGTGCCACCAACCATCATCGGGCTCCTCCAGAAGCACTGCCTGTCATCCTTGCTGCAAGGATTTGAATGGTCAAAGTGGGAGGTGGCGAGGCCTCAGGGCTCCTGGCCTTCGACCACTACAGCCTGGGCAGCTTGGGTTATACGAATGGAAAAGCTTTTCGGCGAGCAATGGAAAGCCCTAGGCATTTATGATGCCATTCGCCTCTCGTCCATGGATATCATCCTGGACAAGGAGCTTCTCTTGGCGGCCTCATGTTTCTGGTGTTCGGCTACTAACACCATGGTTCTCCCTCTCGGCCCCATTGGCCCCACCATCCTCGACCTCACTGCCATCTTGGGGACTTCCCCAACTGGAATCCCAGTCGACGCTGCCCTCCCTGGGTACCCGTCGAACCTCAATTTGAAGGTGCTATTCGACAGGCGGGCCCTTGAGACGCTGAGCAGTGATGGCCAAACACCCTCGAAGGAGAGGTCCACAAGCTTCACAAGAGCTTCTTCAACTACAACACCCTCTATCTCCATTTTGCCGGCCGAGGAGAGGAGGCTCTGCGAGAAGGGGGAGCACGAGGCTTTCCTCTTCTATTGGTACAACAAATTTATTTGTTGTACCAAATCTAATAAGTGTTTGGTCGAGAATATGCCAGTGGCCGAAGCTTTAGCTAGCGGTCACACTTTGGCACTCAGCCCAGCCATTCTCGCACATCTCCTACGCTGCTTGGCTGAAGTCACTCTAGACAAGGTCGATCCGCAGCAGAATGGGCCCCTCTGGGTCTTCCAACTCTGGCTGCAGGTCTATTTTGCCCCTATTCGGCCAACGATGGCCGATTTCTCGCCCAAGGAAGCGCTCGGCCCCCAACTGGCTCTTCGGCCAATCCCCCCCATCAAGCTGAAAAAGTGTTCAGATACTTTTTCGCTCTCGACGACCTTTCTGATGACGAATTCTTAATTTGTCGTCGTCGAGAATACCCTTCGTCGATCAGACTTCCTACATCAGCATAGGGCGCGGACGAAGAAGCCGACCTTCGTCAATCCTGGGGGTCATTCGTGCTTGCCCGCGACCTTCCTCTAGGCTGTGAGGACCGCCGAGCGAGTTGGGAAGTGTATCATCCCAACTTCCTCGCTCGGCAGCTTGGCTACCTCCAAGGTTGCTCGGTCCCCAATCTCTCATCTCGGTCCGTCCTAAGCCGCAGACGCGAAACTGGTTCTTCCGAGAAGGAATGCAGTGACGTAAAAATGGAGTTCCAAGAGCGGTGCCAGAAATTCCGCCTTCGACCGGCCACTCCAGAAACTCTTTGCACCGATACCTTCGGTGCTTGGTGGGAAGAATATACCCAACAGTTCTTTGGTGTTCCGGTCGAACCGTTCTCGCCAAACTCTTCGGTGGTCGACCTAAGAAGGCTTCTGCCCCCCAAACCCAAGGTAATGGTTTATTTCTACCTTTTTCTTTCAATTTTGAACTACTGATCTGCTTTGCTGACTTGCTTTTGCTTCCCCAGGTAGCCGGGCCTTGAAAAAGGTGGAAGTGGTCGCTGCAGCTGCGGCTGAGAAAAAGCGGGTCGCCTCGAAGAGGGCTAAAACCGCTGTGCCTGTCTTGCCGAGCAAACAGCCTCGTCAAGAGGCCGAGCCTACCATCGAACCCCCTCGGCCTGCCAAGCGGGTCAAAAAGCTGGCAAAGAAAGAAGCAGGGGGATCCACGTCATTTCCAGTCAAACTACGGGGGCGACGACTCCTAGTGTTTCCCTTTCTCCCACCGTTGGCCAAGCCTTGGTCGAGAAACAGCCAACTCCGACCGCAAAAACAGTCCAAGCACGGCTTGTTTCTGAGGTCGGTGCACCAGTCGTAGCTCCATCGATCGAGGCTACGCCTGTCCTAGAAAAGGTAGTCCTTGCGACCGAGAGGACTTCTCCCGCACATCTAGAACCTTCGATCTTCGTTCTGGAAGAGAGCGAGGAGAGCGACGAAGTTCCATTGGCGAGTCGCCCTCATCCCCGCCGTCAACCTCTTCCTGGGTCTGAGGTGGCTGTTTTAGTCGGCCCTTCCATGGCCGACCGTGGCAAACGACCGGCCGAGGAACCAGTAGCGGCGACCGAAACGTCCGTTCCTTCACAAGACCAGGATGTCCATCCTACGTCCAAAGCGGCTGTCCCAGTCGACCCTTCCATGGCCGATCGTGGAAAACGACCGGCCGAGGAGCCAGAGGCAACGGCGGAAACGCCCATTCATCCTCAAGACCAGGACCTCAACATTCCTCTGCAGGAAGCTACTTCGGCCTTTCCTTGATTATTTTCCTGCCATAAAACTCTAAACCAGAAAAATACTGTCAGGTGCCTGCGTACTCTTTTCATCGAAACTTCTATGCGCCGAAGGTGTTATCTATATTTCATGGCCGCCTCAGTGGCCATCGAACGTAGATAACCTCCATCGGCCGCGTGAACTGAGAAGCAATCTAAGACACTGGGCTCGGCCATTGAGTTCTTTAGGTTCGAGCAACGATCCTGAAGACATGGCCGAGGTCTCCTATCGGCAGGTTAAAAGAAACGAAACCTTCTTGCTATCTTTTTCATGACCTCTTTTGAGCTTAACCTGATTTGTGTGTGCAGGCTTCGTGGGAGGTCGAATTCAAAGCTCTTTTGTCCAGCACCACTGGAGGGGCTGGTCCCTCGGCCGCCACAACTGACACTGCTGATTCAACTGCTCTGACTCGGCTGCAAGAGGTCTTGTCGCTTTCGGCGTCGCAAGTCCTTGAGCGCAAAGGTCTTGACTTGCTGGGTGCGTGTCTAAACGACCTTGGAGCCGACGGTCAGCTGAGCGGCGAGGCTGTCGTTCAGGCGTCAACCGCCTTGGAGCGGGTTCGAGAAACTTTCAGTATTTTCGAAAGCGCTCTAAGGGCCGAACAAGACCTGTAGGCTGCCACGGCCGTTCAAGCTACTCTCCGTCCAAAGATTGACACCTTAAAGGCCAAATGAGAGGCCTTGGCCGACCTCGACCGTCAAATGGCCGAATTGGCGAAACGCCGGTCGGCCATTGCCTCCGAGCTTGCCAAGGACTTCGAGTCAGGCGGCAAGGCTTGTTTGACCGAGTATGTGGCAAACACAAAACGGGTCCAGCAGTTGAAGTTAGACAAGAAGAATCGGCAGGCTGAGGTCATCATGGGCGAGGTGCGGTGGTTGGAGCTGAAGGCCCTGCTCGGCACTCTTCTACCTTCTTCACCTTGAATGTATTTGAATGTAAACCGATTGACTTACTCATTTTGTACATGCTTATCGATCTTAATGAACTGGTTTTCTATTCCCGCATTTCCCATGTGACCGGATAATATTTCTTCAAAAACTTCCCATTGATTGGTAATATGTGAACTAAACCGGTCCGGTCTTTAAGATGATACGCCCCTTTTCCGTATACTTTATGTGCAACGAACGACCCTTCCTAATTTGGCGACCACTTGCCGAACCTAGGGTCTTTTAGTCCTACGGGTAACACCGTTTGCCAAACCAATTCACCCTCGCCGAATGTTTTCTATCGCACCTTTTGATTATAGGCTCGCTCGGTAATCCGTTTTTGTGCCACTAGTAAGTTATAAGCGTCAAGTCGTGCTTCTTCCAAATCTTCTAATTCCTGCCTCATGGACTGATTATATTCGGCGCTAAACAAACTACTTTGTTCAATTAATCGCAACGAATTTATGCTTAACTCGACTGGTAACATTGCATCGTGTCCGTAGGTTAATACGTACGGGGTTGTCGCAGTCGCCGATTGGGGCGATGTTCGATATGCCCATAATGCCTCATTCAACTTCAAATGCCACATGCCGGGCCTTTCTTTTATTATTTTTTCGAGGATGCCGATCAACACTTTATTACTTGCCTCGGCCTGCCCATTCGCTTGTGGATAATACGGTGTAGACTGTTCGAGCCGAATTTTTAAATTTGCCGTATACTCTTTAAACCTTTCGGCTGTGAAAATTGTTCCATTGTCAGTTATGATCGTTTTGGTACGCCAAATCTGGTCACAATGTGTTCCTCCACGAAGTCGCAAACTTCTTTAGACATTAGCTCGGCATATGATTTCGCTTCGACCCACTTAGTAAAGTAATCGGTTGCGACTATTATCCATGCGTGCTTGCCGTATACTCTTTAAGATGCATCGGAAAGACCCATTAAGTTGGTTAATCACAAGCTCAGAGTCGTCGAGGACGAGGGCACGGGTGGCCCGCAAGTCATGAAGGAGGCCAAGGCCGATGATAAGGGCTTCATATTCGGCCTGATTATTGGTGCAGTCAAAATCCAACTTAAGCGAAAAATACCAACGATCGTGATTAGGAGATTGAATGACAACCCCAACGCCGGCTGAGGATGAAGTACTGGAACCGTCAAAATACATCGTCCAATAGTTGTCGCGTGTTTCAACCATGCCGATTTCGACATCGGTGTCCCCAAAACCGTAAGGGGAGGGGTGTTGAGCAAGGAAATCGACCAATGCTTGGCCTTTGACAGCTTTCTAGGGCACGTATTGCAAGCTAAACTCAGACAACGCCATCGTCCACTTCCCAATTCTCCCTTTTACGATCGGCCGGGTAAGCATGTACCGGATAACGTCGGTCTGGGCAATGACTTGTGTGACCGACGGAAGCATGTAATGCCGGAGCTTAGAGGCGGCGAAGAACACGGCAAGACAGAGCTTCTTAATGGCAGAATAATTGATTTCCGGTTGATTAAGATTTCGACTGAGGTAAAAAATAGCCTGTTCGCCCGTCATTGTTATCTTGGGCAAGGAGGCAGCCGATAGACTCTTCAGCCGCCGAGATATATAGTTTGAGAGGTTTACCGCACCGTGGTGGAACAAGGACAGGTGGTGTTGTGAGGGAGACTTTGATTTGTGTAAACGCTGCCTGATGCTTGTCCGTCCACGCAAATGTATCCGAGTCCTTAAGTTTCAAAAGCGTCGAAAACGCTTTCATTTTCCCTGCCGAATTCGCTATAAATCGGCGGAGAAAATTTATCTTGCCGAGTAAGGACTGCAGTTGTTCTTCGTCGTTGGGGGTGGAGCACTGATGATTGCACGTGCTTTATTTTCGTCCACTTCAATCCCACGGTGATGTACCAGGAAACCGAGAAAATTACCGGCCGACACACCGAATGCACATTTGGCAGGATTCATTTTGAGGTTGTGTTGGCGTATACGAAGGAAAGCCTGTCGGAGATCATCCAGATGAGTCCGTCGTTGTTTGGATTTAATTACAACATCGTCGATATAGACTTCAACGATGGTTCTAATTAAATCATGAAATATGGTGTTCATTGCCCGTTGGTATGTGGTGCCGGCATTTTTGAGGCCGAATGGCATAACAACCCATTCGTAATTGCCGAGTGCCCCCGGGCAGCGGAAAGCAGTTTGTGCACATCGGTTTCGGCAATAAAAATTTGGTTGTACCCGGCATGTCTATCCATAAAGGATAAGATCGCATGATTCGCCGCGGCATCGATTAACAGATCTGAAATCGGCATTGTATACTCATCTTTGGGAGTTGCCAGATTCAGATTTCTGAAATCGATGCAGATGCGCAGTGCACCATTTTTCTTTAAAACAGAAACGATATTTGCCAACCATTCAACATATCGAGCTGTCCGAATAAACCTGGCTTTCAAAAGCCGAACCAGTTCGTCCTTGATGCCGAGCTGCACTTTGGTCGAGAATCGACGAGGTGGCTGACGGAAAGGTTTACATCCGAGCTTAATACGTAATTCATGCTCGACAAGAGTACGATCTAAGCCGGGCATTTCATGGTAGTTCCAAGCAAAACAATCTTTGAACTCCGTAAGCAAGGCACGAAGTTCGTCCTTCATTTGTTGGGGGAGTAAAGCACTAATAAATAAAGGTCGTGGGTCAACGGTCATCCCAACATTAATCTCTTCCAGGGAGTCCTTAACTTGGGGCTGATGATCTTCGAGCTCGGCCGGGGCGACTTGAACTTTGTCAAGAGATAAGACAGGACTATTATTTCCTTCGGCAATGAACTCGACGAGGTTAACGCCCAAATTTGGTTGTTTAGATATAGTATACCAATGGGCCAACAGTCGTTCCATAGTAGATGAAACCGCGACCCTATGTTTTTCCCGGTCGGTGTCAAACATCGGCTTTGGGGAGGAAGTTGGCTAATCTGAGTCTCGCCGAATCCTGGTGGACAGTCTCGGCGCCAACCTCGATAGCTTTCTGAACAGAAATCCGAGTCGGCCATCCTTCATCATTGAAGCCTTGCAAAGTAATGTAGCCGATGTGGTCATCATAATACCGTGCTTGGATCATGTTAGTTTCGAAGGGTTGGTTATCGACCGGGTGAACCGTGACTGATTTGCCGTCCCAAAAAACGAGCACTTGATATAATGAGGAAGGAATACAGCTGGTTTGGTGAATCCAATCTCGACCGAGTAGTGCATTATACTCGGTTTTAGAATCAACCATGAAAAAGGCGGTCATGTGAGTACGACCGGCAATATTCACTGTTAACGGAAGTACACCTTTGGTTTGGGATTTGTCGCCGACGAAACTACTCATTGTGATCCCTGACGGAATAAGTTCGTCATTAGAGTGACGTAAGGCCTTCATGATGTTCATAGGCATGATATTGATGGTAGCTCCACAGTCGACAAAAACTTTAGAAACTGGATATCCCTCGATGTGGGCCGTCACATACAATGGCTTTAAATGATGGAGGTTGGCCGATGATGAACGAGGAAACAATTCGGCCAAAGCTGCTTTGATATTGTCATCTTTTGTTGCAAAGTCAACTTCAGCAACAGATACAAAATCAACATGGCCGGCTTCCTCGGCGACTACATCACCATCGAGGAAATTCGGCTGAGCTGTGCTTGATTGAAAATCAGCAGGTAACAAATGGACCATACTGATTTCTATGTTATCCAAGACTGACGGGCCCATCGGGTTAGGATCCTCCTCGCTAGCCTCATATCTCATCTGGTCGGCGACTACGGCTTCCGTTGTTGTCAGAGTTGGACAAAAAGACTCTTCTGCTCCTTCTTCAATGGTTTGATCTTGCGGTGCTGCTTCGGCAGCTTGTTGGTTCTGCGTGATTGCCTCAGGTAAGGTTGAGATCGACAGTGTGTTTGGGGTCAAGATCCGAGCCTGCTCCTGGTAGTGTATCCGGGGATCCCTGGTGTCGAGATAAGCATCCAATTGCGCAATACGTGCTATTTCATCGGTCGTAAGGCCGAAAAGAGAAACAGCCGAAAATACTTCGAAGTGATATCGTAAATACTGAAGGTCCTCCATTGAGAAAGGAAGGTCGGCTGCATCGATATCAGTGTATAGGTCGACTTCAAATCCAAGGACACGAGCTTCTCGTATGTGCTGGAACCTTGCTTTCAATCCTGGGTCTGAGGTCTTCTGAATGATTCGCTCGGCATCAGGACAAGTCAGGACTAGATCAATTGTGTCCTGACATGCCTTCGGCAAACCATACAGATCATTGGCCGAATGTTTCTTATGAAATTCTCGCATGTATTCTAAAGCCTCCCCGAGGAACGGTGGGTGCAAATTCCGTCGAATTTTGATCAAAGGTTCTTGTATGGCCGGCGGGGCTAATTTGCTTTCGGCCTCTTGTCTGAAATGCTCGAGGCGTGCCTTCATCTCCCCCAGCCGAAGAAGAAGTTTGATCCGTTTATCAGCCTCTTCGAACGTGGTTTTGACATCTCGGTTGACCAGCCGTTTCCCTTGAACCAACTCTGTCATAATAGCTGGAGGTGGTCGTTCATCATCAGTAACAATTGTGTCCTTCGGCCGCCATTGAGGGACCGAAGTTTCTTGGGCTGCCTGTCGGCGGGCCATGCAATCTATCATTTGGTGCCGGCGTTTCTGGGATTTGGATAGTGCGGTGTAGACGCCTTTCGAAGAATGATATGTATACCAACGTTGATCGCTAGGTTTGGGAGGTTTGAAAGTTTTTTGGCTCCGCGAGGATTCCGAACTGCTAGAATTACGTTTATAGTAGTCCTCATCATAAAATGAAATATCAAAATCAAGGCGCCGCCTGACTGAGGGTGCCTCTTCCATCCTCACTTTAGGACCGAGCCTATCAAAAACCCCTTGATGTTGGCCTACGTTGGCAACCTTTTGCTGGGTTGCGGCCGTAGGTCGTTCCGTTATAAGCGAAAAGGGCTTTTCCTCTGGCTCACTGCCGACCTTTGCTCTACATTTATTGCACAAAACCGTCGTCCCACTATCTTCATCGGTGCTATAATCCATCATACGTTTGACAATAGCGGGTCCCGTTAAAGCTGTAGGTGGTTCGTTTGAACGAAAATCGGCCATGAAACGTGGCCGAGAATTCTGATTCCGAAAGCGTTGCGTCGCAACAACTTCGGCCTTCCCTTTCCCTTTGTCTTTAGGTAGGCACGCATCGACCATATTTATTGTTGCCGTGGGGAACGGGTCAGTATCAACACTCATCTTCTTCTCTGGAAATTTCAGTTTGCCATTATCAATCCAGCTTTGGACGTTGTCTCGAAACACGACGCAATTGTTTGTCGTGTGTTTGCTTGAATTGTGGTATTTGCAATATATCTTTCCTTTAAGCTCTTCGGCCTTGGGAATGTTGTGCCTAGGCCGAAGTTTGATGATCCTTGCTGATAACAGTTGATCAAAAATTGCATCGGCCTTTGTAATATCAAAAGTATAAACTTTCGACGGTTTCAGTGCTCCTTCAGTAGCCGAGCGGATTTTGACTTCCTTAGAGTTAACTTGAGTTAGTGCCTTGCAAACGTATGGCTTATCTATCACTATCTCAGCTGCATCCACACTAACGCATTCATCCTCGGTTGATGCATAATTGACAGTAGGATTCTTGTAAATCGTCCCCCGAGATGGAGCTTTCGAAATTTTTTCCTCGCGAAGCAAATAATTATACTGCTCGACATGTTGGGCTAATTCGTATATATCCCGAAAGTTTGCCCCCAAGAATTTCTTTTTGTATTCGACGTCAAGACCGTTCAGAGCAAGTCTGACGAATTCAACTTTGGGGAGAGGCACTCGGCACCAATTCCTAGCTGATTTGAATCTAGTAAGATAATCCATTGGTGACTCGTCGGACGCCTGAGCCATCCTTGCTAATGAGGATACTGACATTTCCATTCCCGGCCGATAAAACTGCTCATGAAATTTCTCGACCAACTCCTCCCAACTCTGGACGGAGTTCAGTGGGAGGTTAATATACCAAGCGAACGCTGAGCTGGTCAACGAAAAATTGAAAAGTCGCAGCTTGTGAAAGTCACTATTAACGTCTCCGCATTGTGCGGTGAAGCGAACTACATGTTCCAACGAGGATAAAGATGATTCTCTGGCAAAAAGGCTAAAATCCGGGATCTTGAAACCTCTAGGGTATTCCACTTGTTCTACGTAAGCTGGATACGGGTGTATAAACTTAGGGAACTTCGGCCCTTTCTTCATGGCCGAATCGATCATCCGTTGAACTTCGGTCATATCGACGGGCGTTACTTCCACTCTCTGGTCGGATCCGTCTGACCTACTATTCGACCCTCCTCATCTTTCCAATTGAAGTGGCCTGAGCCGAGCAGGAATTGGCTCGGCCGGTGCACTTGATAATAGATTATTCCTCGGCGGCAAATGCTGGGCAAGATCGAAAATTCTACCATCGCTGACCTTACTAACCAGTATTTCGAGTAATCTGGTTTGTGCTTCACTGGAATTGCGTATCACGTCATGAAGCTTATCGATTCCTCGACTCAATGTCTGTTCAACCGTCCGAGATTGCTCCTTAAGCCGTTTTCGAAGAAACGACCTTGTGGGTGGATCAGATCCTTCGCCACCATCTTCATCACAATCTTCTATTACTCCTTCATTGAGAATGCAAGTGTTCCTGTCGGAAATTTCAAGACTGCGAACCTGACTGCCGAGATTAACTTCCCTTTCTCGGCGAGTTGCGCTCGTGGACTCAGGTGTCACAGCGCTGATGGGAATCTGCGCTTGTGGCACATGGTGTCCTATGTTCTGATTTGGTAGATCGGCTGTCGACTTTCCCATAGCTGTTTTCTTTTTTACCGATCGTGTTTCAATTGGCATGAACTTCGTAGTTTAGCATTGGGTCCCACTGGGCGTGCCAAAATGTGGACCCTAGAAACTACCAAGCCTACGTGGCGCGCAGGCCGAGTAATCTATAAGCTAACTACGTCATTCGGTGAATGCAGGCGTGCCAACTCATCGGCCGAGCTCGGCCGAGGAGTAAATTTGTTGATGTTGCGTTGGGTGCGCGGCTGACTCCTGCGTCTTGCGATTGCGACCGAGGAAGGAACGCGTCTCAGCCTCTTGGGTTCTCGAACCTGAAGACAAGGTTACTATTCTTACGAAGTTCACGAGTCATCGTCATCGGATTCAGTCACAGTGATGTTATTCGTCAGAGTAAACTCACGCCGAATCGACACCAAAGTGTAAGGGCACAAATACTCAAAGCGAATATAAGTTTTAATGGTGAACGTGGTTCGGCCGTCCGAATGCCGAACTCTAAATCCCACTTGGGAATATCCAATCATAAAATAACTCGGCGTGCAATGCGCCGAGCTCGATATACTATAACACCTCACTTCGCCGAGGAAGCTAATGAGATGACCTCAATCAATAAGGATCCGGAAATCCTTCTCGACCGAGACTTGGATAGGTAACCAACCGTCCTCGCCGCAGTACTGTTGATGCCAACGGAAGATACTGCGAGACCGACTGATTCTACGATGACAGAGCTATCTATGCCGACTTAAGATGTCACTGGTTGCTTCCACAGTGCTGTTGATGCCAACGGAAGATGTGTCAGCGAGAAAAGAAAAGAAAAAATCTCAAAGTTGTTGAGAAAGCTTGCGCAGGGCAGTTTTGTGTTGAATTGTCGGGGGCTTGAATGATGCACAGCCTCCCCTATTTATAGCACTGGATCTCTTTGAATCCGAGTTAAAACCTTACTCGGACTAGGTCTTCTCCTCCTGATCAACACCAACTCGACCAGTCCTATTTTCACTAGGATTGTGAACCTAGTCCTTAACCGAGCCGGATTCGCTTCCGGGTTATTAATCCTACCGAGACTCCTCATTGCACTAGGACTCGACTTCTTGCGTTATGACCCAGCCGACCTAGGTTTGGAGGCCCACGTACTGAACGATCCATGGCATTCTGGTCGCAAGGCCTTTCGAGCCGAGAATGATTCTATACTCGGCCCAAACTATTATTTTGGGCCCAAACAGGTATATTTATGTTTTATGCCTAAACTTTGTATCATATAATTATATTTTCAGTTTGTATCCACTTTTAATTTGCAACATTTTTTTTTAATTTGTAGTATTTTCTTTTTAGTTTTATTTTGTACCCATGTATCAATTTCTTTTAGTGCCTATATTTTTTAAAAATTCATTTGTACTCATAATGTTTTAATCTTTTATCTGTACCCTAATTTATTTATAATGTACTCATTTTTCTTTATTAATGTACCACTTTGTTATATGTGAAATGTACCAATTTTTTTGTAAAATGTACCAATTTTTTTAACACTATGGATACATTCTTTTGCCATTTATTATTTCTTATTTTTACATAGTTTTTATCCATTTATTCAATCAAAATGTTTGAATGTTTTTATTGTAACCGTTTCTAATAGCATTATAATGAGGGATTTTAAATTTATAGGATTATAAATCTCATAAAATATCAAATAATTAATGTCAAAACTATAAAAATATAAATATTAATAGTAATATAATGAGGTGTACAAAGTCAAGGGACTTTGATCAAACTTTGAATACTATGAAGGTTTTAATCAAAGAATGTTAAGGATTAAGGATCGCATCCAAAGTATCCCTAAAAAAAATCTCTCATTTACTTGGGGTTGTCAATTGTCGCACTTGCTAGTATGGTAAAAGTTCAAAAAAGGTTTTCAATTCCGATTGTAGAGGAGTACTACTTGTCCTAGGTCCCTTATTTGCAGGGAGATTTGTCTTTGTACTCGAGAATTCTGATGTGTGTGTTTTTTTTTTTTTTTTTTTTTTTTTTTTTTTACAGAAGCAATAGAGTTCATTACCACAAACAACCAATTACAAGGGTGCCAGATAGGTACATTAGCACATAACACAAATGATTTTAAACTTCTATACGACTACCACGCAAACCTCACCACTAGAACGAGGAGTCACGAGGCATATATGCCCCAAAAACAAGACGTAACATACCAAGCACCGAAACCCTCTCAAAAGCAATCGCAAACAATGAGAGTACAAAATTGCCGTAGTAACACAAACAACTCCCGAAGCAACACAGACAAACCAAAATAACTAAACTGAAAAACAAAAGAATCGATGACATGTCCACAATGGAGATGCAGGTGCAGAATGGGCAGAAGGTGTGGGTAACGGAGGCACGTGTAGAATTGGCAGGAGGCGTGGGAACTATTTAGCCAAAATTGACAACATATTTTGTTTGAGAGATACTTTGACTCCACAAAATTGTGAATGAATTCTTACTTCTAAAATTTCGTGTTTATGGTGTCACACTTCAACACTATCTCATAACTTTGTGGAGTCATAATTGACTTGTTTTGATTGTGAATATGTAACATCGACATGTATCTCATAATTGATTGCGAATTCTTCCCTAGATAAATTAAAGTAACTCAAAATACCACATTATCAAAAGGGGAAATAAAACATTAAAGAAAAGTGACGAGTACCAACAACACAATCAAAACAAGTAAATTAGGGTAAAAAAAAAAGGAGAAAAATTAACGAGGAAGACAAGGGGTTTTTGCTCAGAAGAGGAAAAATTGAACGGTTGACAGCTGTCAGGACTTTATTGATTTCAGATACTTATTTGGAATGCTGACCTGGCACGCTCTCTGCAAGGAAGATTTTTCTCCCCCCAAATTAATCGACCTCCTTTTACATCACAGTAAAGAGAGAAGACCAAAAGTTAAATAAAAAAAAGGTGCTCTGAAACTCCTCCTCCCTCTCTCTCAAACACTAATCCTTCGCGCCCTTTTAGCCTTCATCCGATATCACAACCCTCTCTCTCTCCCTCTCTCTCTGAAGCTTCCTTCATTGTTGCTGGCAAGTCTCTCTCTCTTACACCTTCGTGATGATTTCAACTTTTGGGTGAAAAAAGTTTGGATCTTTGTGTTTATTATGCTGCCTTCTGTTTTTGTATAATTTTTTATGTCAATTTTGTGTCTTTGGTGGAAAAAGTTTGAATCTTTGGAGTTAATAACGTAAAGATTGATGTTCCTTCGTTGTTTGTGTGTATACATGTATGTGTGTATATCTATATATATGTGCATGTGTTTGTGTGATTGTTGTGTTTGTGTGGTTTTGGTGAAAAAGAGGTGACTTTTTTGGGGAAATTTTCATGTTTTAGATAGAAAAGGTGGAAGCTTTGGAGTTCATAGATAGGATGGACTACAGAAACTTGCCAGTAGCAAAGAGAACCAGGAAGAAGAATCGTGAGGGTGGCTCGGCCGCTGTGAGTCGAGAGTACGTGTCTATATCTGATGAGAGTGAGGAAGAGTCCAGAGCCTATGAATCACTTGATGTTTCTGATGAGGCCAATGCAGCTCCACCCACAGCCTCAGGAGGTAAACACAAGAAGAAAAGGCTCGGGAAGCGAAAATCCATTAACAGGTCTAAGAAAGGGATGTTTGGTACGTCAATGGACTATGAGTATAAGGATTTGTCTGATGATGGTGAGGAGGCCAGTGTGGAGATCATTGGTGAGGATTCAAATGATCCCATGAATTTTGATGATGTACATAGTGCAGGATCAAAGAATGGCAAGAAATCTGACCCAGTTGATCTGGAGGATAGTGATGATGACGTCGTGTATTTAGGCGAAGAGGGAGGCGAAGGAGGAAGGGGTTTCGGTTCTTTGAATTTGGAGACAAGTGATGCCAATGACGAGGTTGCTTCTGATGGCTCAGATGAATCTGAGGCAACTGAGGAGGTTGCTTCTGATGTTTCTAACAGCTCACATGATTCAGAGACCGTCCTATTTAGTGAAGAGGAAAGCGCTCATTCGGATGACGAGGATTATGACCCAGAAGAGTCAGAAAGTTCTGAGTTTTCTGAGGAGTCAAGTTCATCTGGTGGAGATGGCCAGTGGAGCGATGAAGGTGATGTTGATATGAAGAAGGGGGAGATTGTTAATAAAAGGGAGAAGAAAAAGGGTAGTGGGAAAACGAAGAAGGGGAAAAGTGTTGGGGACAATATTGAGGTGAATAAGGTGCATAATATTGATGAAGGGGAAGTTAAAAAGGGATTTAGAAAAGAGGGCAAGGGGAAAACTGTTGAGGGTGGTGTCGAGAAGAAGAAGGGGCAGCATTCTAGTAGAAAAGAAGATGTTACCGCTCTTCTATTGAAGTTCTGTTTTGGATCCAAGGAGCCAAGTGTACCAGAGAAGCCAGAACTAGATCCAGAAGAAAACGAACTTTGGGATGAATTTCGTTTTTCTCTCAGATCTTGTGAGATTGGTTCCACTGGATCTAATAAGGTAGGTAGGCATAAATTCATCGTTCACTCTGATCTTGAAAGTACATAATCGTTATTGTGTTGTGTATTTTAACTTAGGTGTATGACCTTATAATTAGTTGTTAGACTGTAGCAATGATCCGATCAGTACATATTCGTAGCTGAGTCATTAATTAGTTGTTAAGTTTTGACTGTAAGTGACTGTATTTGATTGGCAGGTTGGAAATCAAGATTCACTCCCCGCTGTTCATGAAGAGGATACTGCTACCCTTTGTAAACGAGGGAGTCATCAGCTTATACTCGATGAAGAGATTGGACTCCGATGCAAAATTTGCACTTACTTAGCCAAGGAGATCAAATATATTTTTCCAGAATTTGTAAGTTTACGCATGTTTCTTTCAGTACGAGTTAAAACCTTTTTTTATGTTATCATTTTTCATTTGCACTAAATCATAAAATCTAGCTAATTCTTATGGAAACCGTGTAACACTGACTATAGAGCACCGTCTGTTGTTTGGAACCTGCTTTAGTACACATCCTGGAACTTTTATTCATAGAGGTTTTAGAGACTTAAAGCAAGCGCTTGCCTACCTAGGTGGTCGGAGGGATTTGGAATGAAAGTACACTGTTTTCGTAACAGGAAAAAAATACGCTGTGTTTCTGCTGCTTACCCCGTAACTTGAGTTGGCTTGGCTCTAGGGCAAACTGACAGTTCAAGTTGTTACCCCGATTGGCATATTTCAGCTGCTATCTGTTTTTCGTTATTTGTTATTATTAGATCTATATTGTGTCCGTGAACAGCTCTGACATATGTTCGTTCGGACTTGACCATTGTTTTAGTACTTTGGGTACTCAAGCTTCTGGTGCTTAACTTGCCAGTTCTTTATGTTTCTGTGTACTTAGCTTGAAAAGGTTTTTTTTCTTCTGCATCTGTGATTCTTTATTGATCTAATTGCTGGGGCGTTCATATTAAAAAACAATGCAACTTGTTGGTTTTAATCATTCAAATTGGAATTATCAAGTTAGTTAAAAAACATCCTTGGAATGTTTCTGGCCAATCTGAAATTCTTGTTAAGAATCTGTCGATTCTAATCAAGTATACGCTTTGAATGAGTTAACATATAGGGTCTAATTTTCTGTTCTTTGTTTACCTTCCTTGTCTGCTTTCTCATACTGTAACTGCGTGCTTATTAACTTAATTATCATGATTTGGCATATCAAATATGTGATTTTTCTCTTGGTCATGCACATTTCAGGTTGAGAATCCTTACGAAAAATTTGGCAGAAGAGGCTTTGAAACTGACAACTGGTCTGTCTTTGATGAGCTCCGATCTCATGACTCTGGTTCCGGTCCCCATTCTGGTTGTAGTTCTCACCTTCCCGATGAAGGCACAGTGTGGGACTTCATTCCAGGTGTTAAAAGCAGCATGTATCCTCATCAGCGTGAAGGTTTTGAGTTCTTGTGGAATCATATAGCTGGTGGAATACATGTTGAGGAGCTGAAAAAAAGAAGCAGTGATTATGCTGGGAATGGTTGCATAATTTCACACGCTCCTGGAACTGGGAAGACACTGCTAGCCATTGTCTTTCTCCAGACATACATGCAGTTGTTCCCAAACTGCAGGCCACTTCTGATAGCTCCTCGCAGCATGTTGCTTACATGGGAAGAGGAGTTTCAAAAATGGGGGTTTGACATTCCTTTTCACAATCTAAACAACACTGACTTATCTGGTGAAGAAATTGAAGCAGAAGTTAATTTGGTGATGCGAATTGAAGGCCGGAAAAGCATAAACAGAGTAAAGAACAGCAGAATGTTGAAGTTGTGTTCCTGGACCAAGAAAAGAAGCATCCTGGGAATCAGTTACCAATTGTTTGAGAAGCTTTGTGGGACAAATCATTCTGGAGCACTGAAGCAAGCGGAGGAATGGAGGAAAATTATATTTGAGTTTCCTGGTCTTGTAGTATTCGATGAAGGGCACACTCCTCGGAATGATCAAAGTCGTATTTGGAAGGCTTTATCAGACCTCAAGACTAAAAGGCGCATTCTTCTGTCTGGAACTCCTTTCCAGAATAATTTTCAGGAGCTCTTCAATACAATCTGCCTGGTGAGGCCTACATTTGCAGACTCGATCGACTCTAATAAGTTCACTGGAGATTTTCGCAGAAACCAAAGCCAAAAAAGAAATTTAGAGACATGGCAATGGACTTCTGTGACCAACTGTAGTGGAAATATCAATAATAAAAGAGAAAGACATGCTACAGAGGTCAAAGCGAAGATTGCACCATTTGTCAATGTCTACAAGGGTTCTGTACTGCAAGATAGTCTTCCTGGGTTAAGGAACTCAGTTGTTGTTCTACGCCCGACGCAACTACAGGAGGAGTTCCATAAGAGAATTCAAGTGATAAAATCACAGTTTGAATATGAACACTTGGAGTCTCTTATATCTATTCATCCTTCCCTCTTGCTTAACAAGGAAGCATTTTCTGGTGAATGGGATAAGTTAAACAAACTGAAATTAAATCCTGATGTTGGAGTTAAGGTAAAATTTGTGATGGACCTCATGAGACTCAGCGATGCTTTAAATGAAAGAGTTCTTGTTTTCAGTCAGTATATTAAACCCTTGGTTCTTACAAGGGATCTTCTGAGATCAAGGTTTCACTGGACTGAAGGGGAAGAGGTGCTCTATATGGACGGAAGTTGTGATATGAAGCAGCGTCAGTCCTCGATGAAGGTTTTCAACGATCCTTCCAGTAAAGCCAAGGTTTTACTAGCTTCAACTAAAGGATGCTGTGAAGGAATAAGCCTGGTCGGAGCTTCAAGGGTTGTGCTTCTGGACGTCACTTGGAACCCGTCGGTGGAGAGACAAGCTATATCCCGTGCCTACAGGCAGTGGCGGAGCTAGGATTTCTTGTGAGGAGGGGCCTCACACAAGTACAGAAGAAGAAAAAATGAATAGTGATTATAAAATTACAAATGCAAAACATCATAATATATATCCAAATAATTAATAGTCAAAATTAACATATCCATAGATAATATAAATTTCATATTTTGAAACCATTGCGCATGATGTCATCTATACTATTGAAAGAATTATTAAACTCAATAGAGAGAATTACTAAAAATTTGCAAACCCTAAAACTCAAAGTAAGAGGTAGGATATAATAGAACCAAATGTTTTATAGAGGATAATAGAGTTTTACAAACCTTATTGTTCTTTATTCAATAAATTTGGAATTTGAAATGGTTAAATATATGAAATTCAAGAAGAATAGGGAAATAGCTCTGACAGTGCATAAGTGAAAAACAATTTTTGTTAATTAAAAGTGAATGATGAGTTTAATTTGAATGTTATTGATTTGTGATAAATGACGATTCAAAATATTATACTTAATTTTGGGATGAAATTTGTTAGATTAAAAATAGACAATGATTGGATTTGTTTCATGTGTTGAGAAGGGTTGCAAAGTAAGGTGTAATTATTTTTACAAGTGAGGGTAGGCCTAGGACTACTCTAGTCCTAATATGCCTCCGCCAGTGCCTACAGGCTAGGACAGAAAAAAGTTGTCTATGTGTACCACCTCCTCATGGGTGGAACAAATGAGGAGCACAAGTACCAACGCCAAGTTGACAAGAGCCGTTTGTCTGAGTTGGTGTTTTCTGATTCGGACAGGAGTGATGCTTGCGAGAAGAAAGTCCGAGCTGTTTCTGCGGATAAGGTTTTGGAGGAGATGGCTCAGCATGAGAAACTGAAACACATATTCGAGAGTATAGCTTTGCTGCACGAAGACATCTATTTTGAGCAGCTAGGCCTATCAACTTTTGCTGCATGAAACACATATGAGAGTTTATTGCTTTTACTGCATGTAGAAAAATTCGAGCTGTTTCCTCTTTTGCTGGTGGTACATCATCCCTTCACACCCAGCGACCCTCGAATCCACAACAATGGTCTCTCTCTCTCTCTCTCTCTCTACCTATCCACTGTTTGTTTCCACAGAAATTTGTTTGTCATTTAAGTTTTCTGGGAAAATGCTGGATGATGTCGGCAATATATATTTTATGGAACTAGACGAAAGAAATTTAGAAAATTTCCAACTGATATAACTGAAAACATAAAGAATATGTGCAAACTAAATCGTGTCAATGGACTTGATTCTGTTTGGATGAATCCTCAAATTCCATACAAACCAACACGCACTGTTTTCATTTGTATTACTTTCTCATTGGGAGGATGGGGAGGTTTTCTGCGCGCGGGTGCAATGTATGGTCTTTATTAGGCTCGTGATAGGGATGATTTCTGGAACGGATAAGCTGCGTTTGGTGGATTATATGGTCCTGGCCTGTGTGGTGTGGTGTGAGCAGGAACGCAAACATCAAACCTGGTTTATAAAATGTATGCTTTGTACATACGAGGATTCCTTGCGTTCCAAGTAATATTACAGTGCTCATTTTATCTTTCTTCTCACCGCACTACATTAGCTATACATTTCGGCATCGGTTTCCATCTTCTTGCTCCTTGGCATTGCTTGAAAACTGAGCTTCAACTTGTTCCATGATGATGAAACACTTGTCTTGTGTTAGTTTCTTAAGAAAGAATACAAGGCTTTTGTTGGGAAGCATTTAAACTACTAATAAACGTTTTTGTTGCTATTTTGGTTGCATTTCTTGTTTTAAACCCGTTTGTAATCTGAAAATATGACTCAGAATCCAAATTTTTACCTCTCGAATCCAGCTTTTATGTCGCATTGTCTCTCTTTATCCATTTATGTTTGTATCATAAAAAATCTATGAAGTTTAATATCGTGACACGTGCTTATTAATTTACGTTAAATTAATCAAGAGATTCCATTTAATTTGCTTATATAACATGTGCTTTGTTCGTTTATTTTTTTATCTACAAAAAAACAAACGATCGATTGCTCACATCACAGATCCGTTACGTTTTTTGATGTGAGCAAAACATTCAGCCCTTGCACACGAAGTCTATGAGTTTATTTGTTATACATACGTGAGTATTTCCGTTAAGTTTACTTATATGGCGGCGTTATCCTTTTGTCTGCATGTAAGGTAAGCCACATCGGATCCACCTGCAAAACAAAATAAGAAAAATCCACCTCATTTCCCCCCGGTTTCTAATTCGCCCTCACTCCCCCCCTCCTCTGCTCTTTACTATATGAGCTTTTTCCCCCTTCGATTTTTCATTTCGCTCCACCACCAAATCCCTAATTCAATTCCGCCGCCATCAAATTCCATGTCCACCGTCCAAATCAACCGCTCCGTCGCCAATTCCAATGTCCAATTCTCGGAGCAAACAACCGCCCTTGCCAAACCCGTGATCCACGAAACCCCATACCCGACCCGAATCCAACCAAAGCTTGTGCGGATCATACACGCCGACGCCACTGACTCCTCCAGCGACGACAATGAGGACAGCGTCGTGCCGGCGGTGAAGCGGCGCGTCAGAGAGATCAACCTTGAGGTCCCTTCGCCTTCCTCCGCTTCGTCTTCTCCGCCTTGCTCCGGTTGTCCTAAGCTGTCCAAGCGAGCCAAGCTGCCTCCGAAATCGGGCCCGGGCCGCCGGGAAAGGTTCGTAGGCGTCCGCCAGCGACCGTGGGGCAGGTGGGCTGCGGAAATTCGAGACCCGAATCAGAGAAAACGGCTTTGGCTCGGAACCTTCGACACGGAGGAGGATGCTGCGGCGGCGTATGACAGAACTTCACTGATGCTCAGGGGTCCTCGTGCTGTCACTAACCTTCCTGGAGCTGGGGAGACGGTGGTTGCTGATGAGGTGGTGGCTGCTGCGACTGTGGGACCATGGGGAAGGAGGAGGAGCATTTGCCGCCGTGGGGAGGGGGCTGCTTATTGTTTTTAATCTTATTCCCTCCGTTAAGTATTAGAATAAATTATTAAAAATATAATTAGAAATTTCTATTTATATTGTGCTTGTACGGCGCCAAATTAAAATCATCATCTTATCCAACAAAATAAAAAGGCCTAATTAGATAAATGGTCCCGTGGTCATAAGGTATTCGGATGATAGCCCCTGTGGTAAAAACATTCGGATTTAAACCCCTGTGGTCTAAGTCTGTTAGGATTTAAACCCCTGTGGTATAAGTCTGTTAGGATTTATGCCCTTCTGTTAAATAATGCTAATGTGGCTGCCACATATATGCCACGTGGCTGCCAAATGTCTGCCACGTGGCAAAAATAATAATTTTTTATTTTGTTTTTAAAACCTGAATTTTTACAACAAAAAAAAAAAAAAAAAAAAAAAAAAAACCCAGATCTGCAAGAAGAAGAAGAAGGAAGAGGGAGAAGGAAAGGGAGGAGGGCGCGGGGAGAGGGCTCCGGCGAGGGGGGAGCTGGTCTCCGGCGGGAAGAAGAAGAAGAAGAAGAAGAAGAAGAAGAAGAAGGAAGAGGGAGAGGGAGGAGTCGCGCGGGGAGACCGGCGGGAAGAAGAAGAAGAAGGAAGAAGGAGAGGGAGGAGGGTCGCGCGGCGGGGGGAGCTGGCCTCCGGCGGGAAGAAGAAGGAGAAGAAGTCCGACGGGGGGGGGGGGGGGGACGGGCGGAGGGCGGGGGGAGTTTCTGGGATTTTTTTTTTTTTTTTTTGTAAAAATTCAGGTTTTTAAAAAAAAAATTAAAAATTATTATTTTTGCCACGTGGCAGACATTTGGTAGCCACGTGGCAGCCACGTCAGCATTATTTAACATAAGGGCATAAATCCTAACAGACTTAGACCACAGGGGTTTAAATCCGAATTTTTTTACCACAGGGGCTATCATCCGAATACCTTATCACCACGGGGACCATTTATCCGATTAGGCCTACTAACGAAAAGTTAAAAAAAATTTAATTTTAATAAAAAAAAAAGACAAATAAAGGTGTAATGAATAGTACTAGAAAAATGTAAAAAAATGATTTTTCGTTAGAAGTGAACATTATCATGAGTGTTCCGTTAAAACTCTTAATAAAAATTAACAAATCTTTGACCGAGTTGACGGGAATTGACAAAAGTGAGACAAAAAGAAAGAAAACAAGCGACTAAACAAGACAAAACGAATTTGAAGAGATAATGTGAAGGTAAACCATTAAGTGAAACAATGTGAGATTTTATATACGTACTTACCATACTATCTTACACCTAATAAGTTCTTTTCCTCCAAACAATGAGAATTCAAACTCGAACATTTTTTGAAATTGAATATTATATACATACTTACCATACTATCTTACACCTAACTCTTTTCCTCCGAACAATGAGAATTCAAACTTGGACATTTTTTCGATATTGGAATGAGAAGTACCAAACTAAGAAATCAAACTTGGACATGGAATGAGGAGTACCAAACTAAGTGGTTTGCAGCCAAGTTGTTAAGAGTTGTTACCCAGTACTCGAAGCTCGTTTTGAGCCCCCCGCTTCGCTCAATATCGCTTGTAATTGAACCAAAAAAAAGAAAAGAAAAAAAAACTGATGGAAAATTGAACTAAACTAGATGTTGAATTAACAATAAAAATTGCATTCGCTTTTTGTGATGAATTCATCTAAACTTTAAAAGGGAGATTTCTATCCACGCGTCCATTCTTCATTCAAACGGGTGCTGCTAGAACAGGTCAACAGATTGTCAAGGTTGTGTCCGGACACGACAACTAGGGTTTCCAACGATCCAGGTTTTGAATCGTGAACAATCAGATGCGCGCCTGAGATCTGGAATGAATTACACCCATGAAAACAGACGCGTTAAAACAAAATCCAGCACTTCATTACCAACTTTGAGTGCAATAATATCAACTACAAAGAGGGAATACAACCCACCTGCCGGATCTGGTTCAGATTGCTGTTGTTCTCTCCACAATCGTGAGTTATCAACGTCTGAGGAATCGTCATCTCAACTCTTGGAGAAGGACTCTCAAATGTTGGACCATGTCCTGGTCGCTCATTACCAAAAGAATAGGGAACTCGGTCCATGTGAGCTGGACCGTTGTGATCCATACCATGAGAAAATGAAGGCTGATGACCTGGAGTTTGTGATGGAAAAGCAGAATGATCAACTCCATGATGGAATCCAGGTGAAGGATAGGGACCAGGGGAGGCTGGGTTATGCCTCGGTCTAAAGGAGTGGGGAGGCATCTCAGGAAATGGAGACATATAGGGCGGGCCACTGAAATTAGCATAAGGAGGTCTCATAGGGAAAATTGTTTCCCGAATCCTACTTGTTATCTGAAAGAGTGCATCCTGTACAGACGGCAAGCTTCCAATAACCTGCCATAAAGCACCAGGAGATTATTCCTACTGCATTTAGCAAGATTAGGATACTCAAGTTAATAAATGAAAAACTGTGGACCAAAAACAATAGACATAGAGAAGAAGAAGAATGGTATTTAAGCATTTTGATCAAAACACATGAACTATGTTACTAGTTATACTTCTGAACCAAACAAGTGTATCAAAATATAGTAAATCAATCGACCGTTAATGTAAGTGATGGGTGCATATTTTCATATATTTCCTTTGAATTTTGTATATATGAATGGGTTAAATGCACTAATTTATATTGTTTTAATTTATAGGCATTAAATACTGGAGTTATGCAAAAATGAAGTGAAAAATGAGCATTTTGAGTGTCTAGAGTAATTCCAGTGGAGCAAGAGGCTAATTAACTGCACCAAGACATATGCGTTACAACAAGAAGATGAGACTGCAATGGTTTTGGAAATCAAATGGACATGGGAGTGCTATTCAATGGATTTAAGAAGAGACATAATTATTTGTTTTTATTATTTCCGTTTATTTTCTTTTTATTTAATAAGAACTTAAAGTGCATTAGTTAGGATCTTAGTGGGGTTAAATTCGTTTTTCCATTGTCTTTGCCGTGGGTGTTATAAGGAGATTTCTTCTCCTTGTGATGCATGACTGAAAAAAAAAAAAAACATCAACAAATTTTCTCATAGGGGGTTGCGGTAAGGAAGGGCAAAGAGGAAGAGCTACATTGGAGTTTTTCTTTGCTAGGGCTATGATGTAGTCTAATCATGAATATTTAATTGTCTTGTGGCATTGTTATTATCATGTTTTTCTTCTTTATTGAGTATCTTTTGCTATTTGTAATGCGCTTGATTTTTATTTAGATGTTTGATCACCATCTAGGTTTAAAT